GAGAGAGAGAGAGAGAGAGAGAGAGAGAGAGAGAGAGAGAGAGAGAGAGAGAGAGAGAGAGAGAACCCTGGTGGCTAAGGTCAGTGCTTTCTCAAGGCAAGATATGGGGGTGTGGAAAGGCTTGGGAAACTGCAGAAGAATGTGAATTTCTGTGCATGTTGTTGGGCTGACCTGCAGACAATCACCCAGGGCACAGTTTAAGTCCACAACAGGGAGGTTCTGTGTGCACCCGGCAGAGCGGATGGTGCCAGTCTAAATCAGGCTTCTGAGGTCCGATTCACACGTCACTTCGTCTGCAGCTCATGAATCCAGCCTTTGAGATGAAGAGWGCTTCATATTTTCTGATTAGGAGGCTGAGAACAGGATTTAAAACAAGACACCTACACTGTCTAAAAACACTTTAAGCCAATCATAATTTAAAAAATAAGCAGCCTAAAAATACTTATTGAGGATGTCTCAAGTGTCAGGTCTAATAAATTATGTAGCTAATTTCTTATCAATTTCGCTTTCAGATCATTGCTAAATATGAGTTAAAAAAAAAACAACTTGGGAACTAAGTTCCTATTTTTAGCTTTCATTTAACAGGAAAAGAAACAAGTGGTATATTGTAGATCTAAGAATAGTTGTCAGTTTACATCGTACAAAGTAAAATAATCTCAAACATATAGAGCCCAACAACAACGTCAAAAACAGCTTTAAGATTTTTTCTTAACATTAGCTTAAATCTGTCAACATCTCACAGGAAGGGCAGGAGTGTGTTGCCTCGGTAAGATCGCAAGTTGTCACCCAGTCTCTGTGTGGGTTTGGGTAGTTCTCCCTCACAAACCAMAAACATGCATGTTAGCTATGTTCACCATGTGACCCTGTGTGGTGGACTGGACCAGTCCAGGGTGTACACCACCTCTCGGGACAGTGACTGCTGAAGATGGGCACCAAACAACACAGGTTAACGAGTGTAAAGAAAAAGGATGGCTGACAAATAGCACCACATGATAAACACACGTTAAAAACAGTGTTGTATCAAATTCCAAGTTTTATTCCATTTAATAAACAAAGAAAAGCTCCAGGTACAATGTCTGGATGCCCAGACTCTGGGTGCAATGCTTTTTGACAGTTTGTTCTTTAAAAAAACAGAAAAGAATAAAGAAATGTCTAGATTCTAGGGAACTTCAACACAATCCGCACATTTACAAATATGATCCAGAGCCTCAAATTTCTCCAAGTGTTTTTCTCAAGGGAAATAATAAAACAGCAACCTGACATGAATAATAAAGGCATACTTACATGTCATCCTGGAGGGAGGGTTTTTCACAAATCAGCCAAATTTTTTTCTCAAAAGAATTAATTTGCATTGCCAATATAATTATAAGATTTAGACCTGTTTGCACGCAAAACAAACCCTGTGAGAYGTTATTTTTTGGCGAAAGAGATCTTCATGGCATTTGTCTGTGTGATCTTGAAGCCTTGTAGTGCTTCTCGTGCAGCACCAGCCTGCACCTCGTTATCAAACTCCACGAAGGCGATGTCGTGACGACCAGGGACCAGACGCACCTCTTTGAATCCAGGGAACCTAAAGATAGAACAGATTCGGTTCTGACTTTAAATAAYCTGAGCCACATTTGTAAATAAAACACAGTCTATGACAATGAACTCCTCTTTGACACAGAAACGGCAGAAAGTGGGGCAACACTCACTGGTTGAAGAGCATGGAGAGCATGAGTTCGTTCGTCTCCTCTGGCAGGTTGGTGAGGAAGAGGATGTGATTGGGTGGATTTTCCGACACCTGGGAGAAGAGAGGGGAAGTCAGAGTCTAACTTATCAAAACAAGCAACGTTTTTTTTAAAAGAAACACCAAACGCACGGTACCTGCTGAGGCATTTGTCCAGGCATCATCTGACCAGGGATGGCACCTGGAGGAATCTGTCCGGGAGCCATTCCAGGAGGCGGCATCATGCCCGGTGGAGGCATGTAAGGCGGCTGTCCTGGGATGTGCATCATACGAGGAGCCTGGCTCATGGGAGGCATTCCCTAATGAACAAAATACAACAACTCTGATCTGACTGAATGAGCACATGATTATTATCTTAAAGTCTATATCCAATTGTAAAAGTGGAAAACAAGTTAAGAGGAATCAGAATTCAGCGTTTGATTTAATTTCTATTTGAGATGAATATCTACTTACTGCCATCGCAGCAGGAACCATGGGTGTAACACCTTTCTTGGTTCCAGACGACTCAGGTTTGGGCTTCTTTTTCTCTTTTTTGCGGTCACGCTCCACATAGGTCCCCTTCATTTTTGCAATAATGTCTGAGTCAGTTTTAGAATACTGGATTCGCTGCATGAAAACACAACATTTTTCAGGACAAATGAACTTTGAAGTTATAAAGAATATCAAATGATCCATTGAAGGTTTAATCAACCTACCATGGGTTTATCGTAAAAAGGAAAACCTTGCATCGATCTTAAAGCACTGGAGGCGCTGTTGATCTCTTTGAAGATAACAAAGGCTTGACCCTTCATCTTCAAGTTTCGTGCAACCAAGATGTCCAAAATTTGTCCAAACTGTGAGAAAATGGCGTACAGCGACTTTTTCAGCTCTGCAGTATGGGGAGGGAATAAAAAAAGGTAAATAAGAATGCGAGTTTTCAATGAAGAGACGTCAGTTGTGTCTGTATTACACAACAGGGGAGATACTCGCCATCTTTCTTGATCTTCTCATTCAGGTTGTTGATGTATATCGTGTGATTAGGCCGTACTTCTGGACTAGTCATCTTGTCACCTAACCGTGAGAAGCTTTGGGGGAAAGAGGAAAAAAACAATTGTGAAAATTAAAATTCTCTTTTTTAAACTAATTGAAATCAAATTTGAGTCAGATTTAAGTGGCTAACTATCGTTAAGCGATTATTCAACGAAACAAGACAGCATTGTTGTGATTAGCCTGTTAGCTCTGAACTAAACTGACGCCATTCCGCACAAAGGGACAACCCAAAAAAACAGATTTAAAGTCAAAATCTACTTCATAAACTTCTCTAAAATCACCCAAACCGCATATATGCCCTCAAAACAGTGCATAGCGAGTATTTAAACAAACAGAATACTGTAAATATTGAGCACAATGTGGACGAAGTACTCACCTAGTCTCGAACAGATGAATGAAAAAGCCCCGGACTTMTGAAATCCCGTTGTCTTCTCGCGATAAAACAAAACAACTTCCGGCGAAACTGTCAAGTTTTATATTTATCTTAAATAATATATATTACCATCCATAATGTTGTAATTTTTAAGTTAAAAAATACTATATTTTCTATCAACTGTAATATTGATAAAATTGTGCTTTAAAGTAGGATATTTTTAATCACTTAAAAATATAATAGAGGGCGCTGTTAGAACTTTCTGGTGCTGTTGTTAGATTAGATGAGAAGAAGAAGAAGACGAAGAGCACAGCCAAATATGGACATACTACCGGTCTTAGCCGGTTTCGCTAAGGTAGTGTTACTAGCTAGTTACTATTCTTTGCTGCACTGTTTCTGCTCCTATGTTCCTATTTTAATAACATTCAACTTTAAGTTTGTGTAATTATTTGTTTTCTGTAAAGTTATGCACGCTGCAAAACACCGAACCAAGTTCTAAAAGAGGGCGTGTAAGTTAAAGTTAAATGAATTCAATGTTCTTTTCTAAGCAGAAGATGCACAAAATGCTAACAAAGCCACTTCATGACAGGGTGAAAGAGCTCATTGAAGATGCCTGAGGAGTGTTCCCTGTCACCTCCACCAGCCCCTCCACCTCCACCTGCTCCCTGTCCTCCACCTGCTTCAGCACCAAGGAGGAAGCTGTTTCAGACTATAGCCAGCAACAGGAGTGCTGTGGAGGGGGACTACACTGAGGCTTGCTTACTTCTCAGGCAAAGGGAGAGCAGGTGAGATTTACACTTTCACCAACTAAAAAAAAAAAACAACGAAATAAATTAGCTGGATTGTAAAAATGCTAAAGTTTTTCCAAAAATTACTGAACAATATAGCTGTTCTTGTGGTGTGTTTTTATGACACTCATGTTCTTTTTTGTGTTCCAGTTTCAGGAAGGACCTGCAGTGGATACTGGTGAACACATATGTGCCTTCTCTAATCCAAGATGGTCCTCAGTAAGTTCACAAACTGCAATGTTGTCATGTCTTTATTTGGATTGGACCTAAATCTTAATTTTTGACACATCTTTGGAACGTCACAAGAGCTGAAAGAGTTGGAAAGAGATGTCTCAATATGGATTTTTATTCTGAAACTGTTTAAACTTACTGAACATAAAGTGGTTATTGTATTGTTGTCTCAAGGTGAATGCTTTTACAGTTAAATAAACCACCACCAGTTTTCCCAGTTGTAATCCTGTTGACTTCTTTTTCAGGTGTGGTTTGGTGGCKTTGTGGATGGCTGCTCACCTCCGGCAGCCTCTGCTGACTGTTGACATGAAAACGGTGGTTCAGACAGCAGTGAGACGGGGGTACACAGCTCAGGGGGAAATGTTTTCAGGTAACACAAGCACGTAAAATGTTTGGTCCTAGTGTGTTTTAAATTAAAAGTTCTTATTTAAAGATATTGAACCCTGAAGATTCACGTGTATTTCTAAATTTAAAATTTTATTAACCTGATGTTTTGGCCTTCAGATCTTCCTTGTGATTCTTGAGCATCTTGAGGAAAACCTGACAGACTAAGAGCAAAACGCTGATTCAGTAAAGTTCAGTTAGGTGTAATGCTTATGGAGCTGAAATAAAGTAATCAGCAACTTACATTTTAATTTGCATTTTTTTTTACTTGTAAACTGAAGGTTTTTGTTTGCTTGAAAGTGAAAATATGATGTCCTGATGCATCTCAGTAATCCAGATAAAAATTCAAAAAGAAAAAAATTGTATAGGTCTTCTGGACGGGTTCTTCTCTAATGAAACGTTTCGTCTCTCCTGCAAGAGACTTCTTCAGTCTGAGAGTTTCAGGCAAAATTCAGGCAAAACCAATTGGTTCAGATATGTTGACGACACCTGGGTTAAAATTAAAGCCCAGGAAGTCCAACATTTCACTGATCACATCAACTCTGTGGATGAATATATTAAGTTCACACGAGAGGATGTAAAAAATGGCAGGTTGGCGTTCCTGGATTGCGATGTCTCCGTTTCGGATGGAGGACGGTTGGAAACTGGCATATTTTGTAAGCCCACCCACACAGACCAATATTTGCGTTTTGACTCCCACCACCCACTGGAACACAAGTTAGGAGTGATCAGGACTCTGTACCACAGAGCAGACAGTGTCCCTACAAACCCAGGAGCCAGGCAGAAAGAGAAATCACACACACGACAGGCCCTGGAGCAGTGTGGTTATCCTGACTGGGCTTTCTTGAAAGCAGACAGGAAACACAGACAGGATTCCATGCAACCTTCAGGTGAAAATGAAGACCCCAAACCCAGACCCAAACCAGTGGTTATTCCGTATGTTGCGGGTGTTTCGGAGAAACTGAGATGTTTATTTTCTAAACATGATGTCCCAGTAGCTTTCAAACCCCAAAACACATTACGGCAAAGGCTGGTTCAYCCCAAAGATCCGGTGCCCCGGCACAAACAGAGCAATGTTGTATATGATGTTAAGTACCAGGAGGACTGCGACCAGTTATACATCGGGGAAACAAAGCARCCACTGTTCAAAAGAATGTCCCAACACAGACGAGCTACATCTAGTGGCCAGAACTCTGCAGTTTTCACTCATTTACAGGCCAGCGGTCACTCTTTCAGAGATGAGGATGTTCTCATTCTTGATAGAGAGGAACGTTGGTTTGAGAGAGGAGTAAAAGAAGCCATTTTTGTGAAGAAAGACCGTCCATCATTAAACAGAGGTGGAGGCCTCCGTTTTCAGTTGTCCCCCTCCTACAGCGCTGCTATTGCCAGTATCACTCCAGCCCCTGTTAACAATAGGTGTTAATTAGGTGTCAACGATAGCCATGTGATGTGAGTATCAGTCACATGGAGGCAGGACTCAAAAGCCTGAATTTTGCCTGAAACTCTCAGACTGAAGAAGTCTCTTGGARGAGAGACGAAACGTTTCATTAGAGAAGAACCCGTCCAGAGGACCTATACAATTTTTTTTCTTTTTGAAAATATGATATTTAACTTCAGGAAATGTAAAACTTTATGCTGATGATTAACTATTTGTTTTGCATGTACATAAAGTGAATTTTTTTAATATGTTAAATTTACATATTTTCTTTCTCTGTCTAAAATTTCACAGCATACAACATGGCCTTACTAGCAGAAGAGGTTTGTGGTTGTAAGGCTGAACTGCTGTCAGGAGGTTTGAGTGGCAGAAATGGTGCCACCATCATCAAACACCTGTGGGGGGGTCAACCTGTTCTCATCCCGTATCCTGCAGCCAAACAGAGCTATAGTAAGAGCTCCAGACAGTTGTGGTTTTTATTTGCATGAGGATTGTTGTTTAAAGTTCCTTGACAGTTTGCTCAGATACGATGAGGACAGCAACCACGAGCCGTGTCAGCGTAGAGGWCATAAAGCTCATTGGGCAGTAGCTTCAGGTAAGACTAATAAAAAATAATTCTGTTTACACAGAACATAGAAAACATGTAACAGTTATAAACAAATGCTTAAACCTCAGCACCCTTTAAAACAACATGAAAACAGCCTCCACGTTTGCTGATGGCAGGAGTGCTCCTGGGTTTGGACCCGGGGAGTGTGAGCACAGATCACACTCGGGCCGATCCCACGCTGCCTTGGCTCCACCTCGCCGCCGGCAGCCGCCCTCCCTGTCCCTCAGGCAGCAGAGAGGTTCACATCCTGGCCAAGCAGGGGAAGAGTCTGCACTACCGGCTGTGGAGTCTGGACGGCGTGGCTCAGAGCAACCAGCAGCTGAAGACCATGGACCCTCGGAGAGCCAAYGATGGGACCCAGTACGTGGTTCCTGAAGGAGGGGTGGAAGCCGGGCTGGCGGGACAGGCAGTGTTACTCCACACGACGTGAAAACTCAGAAACAAAGCCTGGTGCTGCTCGGCTTTCATTTGATGAAACTATAAACTGTTCAAAATGAGGCATAAATTAATGTAAATTATTTTTTTCAACTCATAGAAAAACACTTTGTGGATTTTAAAGGGGCAATATCATGTAAAATCAACTTTTTTGAGTTTTATATCATGTTATAATGTTATACTCATAAAAACATGTCCAAAGCCTTGCTCTGACTCATTCATGCATGTTTGAGAAAACCTGCAGCGTTTTTAGGAAGCCATGAGGAGCAAAACGACAGGTGGGGGACCAGAAACACCTTTTGGTACCAGAAACGCCCCTGGGACATGTCTTTAAGCTGAACTTCCTCATCACGGAGCACCCCCCCACCCCACACACCCCTCTCATGACTCCTGCAGGCTCTCGGGTGAAAGTGAAACTTAAACTGTCTGCTGAGCTCCACTACTTCTCACTCAGTGAAGCTCTTTTCGGATTAAAAATACCTTTGAGGAAATGTATTTTCAGATGCCAAGTAAACCACATCACAAAAAGGTGAGTTTAGCTGA